TATATAATCTATGTTAGATTATTTAACGATTTGTCAATTCGGTTTTATAAAAATATTTGTTAAGCATAAAATTAATTTTTGATAATAGGAAATAATAATTAAGTAAGACTAGAGTTGATTACTCCGAAATAATAAAAGATAATAAACAAATTACCACTTACTTAATATGCTAAATAATGAAATTTAATGAAGTTTTAGTTTTAGTCAAAAAAAAAAAAAAAAAACACATCTTAGTAAAACCAATACCTTCTCAGCTTCGCATCGAAGCTAAAATATATACAACAGTAAAATTATTTTGTAGCGGTTTAATGGGGAAAACGCTCCAAAAATTTAACAAGAGTTCCATTTTTTTTATTCAATTTTATATATTACAGCTATAATATATTCCTATTACATTACTTACATAACACATTCAACTATTTTACATGTTAAATAATGAAATTAAATTGGCCCCTAAATAGTTCTACTGAAATGTACAATATTGGTGTAACTACAGGTTCATTCCCCCCACCCTCGAGAACAATATTTATCTCCAAAATGAAGAAATGTGCAAATACAATAAAGGTACAAAATAAAGGTTTTTTCGAGATTTTTCTGACTATATCACCTTCCATCAAAAAATTCTTTCTTCTGCGTCTTACGTTTACCACACAGCAATCAAATACATTTTTTTGATTCAATTTTAAATTGAATTTATTTAATATTCAAATTAACTTAGGTAAATTCATTAACACTTTTTAATCCTAAAATATGAATAGCTAAATAGTTAAGTATGGTAGTGTTATATTAATTTCCAAATCCATTGTAGTTTTTTTAATACTATCATTATTTGATTTTATGATCGTCGTATTATCAATTTCAGATTTTTTTTTGGTCATTAAATAAACATATTATAGCTCGAAAGTTAAATTAAAACAAACTGTAGCTGTAACAGTATTTAATGTAAATGGAATTTTAGAAATTAATAAAACTTCAATTGTAGAATATTTACACGTAAAATGAATCTTTTAAATTATATAAACACAATAAATACAATACTACAAAATAGCGTAAATGTATCTCAATTGTTATGCAACAATTGAAATGCTGTTATTCAGGGGCGATTCATAGAGGATGTCACTACCCCTCAAACGTTTATCAAAATTATTAGTGGTCGATATTTTTAGGACAAATTGTGGATTTTTTTACTCGCCGAGGTACTGACGTCGAACAATTTATCGTCAAAAGTCTGCAAAATTCACTTCCCTTAAATGACTTGTTTTCATTATTTTTTAATTGTTTTTCTGTGGCCCACGATTCAATATATCGTTACAGTATACAATACGTAGATGTTTAACCAAATACTCGAATTATTTCAGATAAAAACAATATATGAAAATGAATTTGTCCGTTTTAAGTTGCAAATTACGGTTACGTGCTGATTTATTAGCAATTTGTGCCAGGAACTCGTGAGATATTGTAAGACCAGTTACATATTATGTTTTAGACCGGCGTTGGGATAAACATCACATCTAGTACCAAGAAATCATATATGGTCGCCGATTGTCGCGGATGTAATATCGAGTTACGTGTATCGTCTGACGTCTATTGCACGATTGCGACTGCCCGTCTGTGCAAGAACTGCCACGCGAATACACCGCGAGCCGCGCAAAGCCACAAATGATAGTCAGGTGCCGCTTTCGTAGTGATCAGTTTCAGACTTTATAGTGACATGAACAGTTATACGTATCGCTAGCGATTTTCACGTGGCCATCACATAAAGATGACTCGAATAATTTTGTTTTCTCACGACGATTCTCATGAACTACTGGCACAAAATTGTTGACTTTCATTTGAAACTCTGTACAACAAAGTCGATCGGTTCATAAAATGTTCGAATTAAAGAAAAGGATGGCGAGATTAGAATGGAATCTGTACAAAGGGCGTGTAAATATTATGGTTTTTTTTTTCGTGTTTACATTAGCTAAAAAAGGCTCCAGGTGGAAACACTCGACTAACAGTGACGTTAATAATTCAGCCAATGCAGTGTAATTAAGTGCACTTATATCAGAGTACAAATACATCTTTGTTTTAAGAACCGTGTCATATACATGACACGAACCATTTATGAAACAAAACAAGATTTAATTAATTTTGAGAAATCATTGAAAACAATTTTCCGTTGTATAGTTTTATCGATAAATTAATGTGACATTTTTATTTTTCTTAATTTTATTTTTGATCTCGTTTATTTGATAAACGATATGATTTTCGATAATTATTCAACAATACTTTTTTATTTATATAATCTATGTTAGATTATTTAACGATTTGTCAATTCGGTTTTATAAAAATATTTGTTAAACATAAAATTAATTTTTGATAATAGGAAATAATAATTAAGTAAGACTAGAGTTGATTACTCCGAAATAATAAAAGATAATAAACAAATTACCACTTACTTAATATGCTAAATAATGAAATTTAATGAAGTTTTAGTTTTAGTCGTTATAGAGGTGAACTGTCCGTGCAATTCGACCTGTAAGTCCATTGTGCGCACTTTAAAGAGTAACTGTCTCTCTGTCGATATTGAAAGATAAACTACACCACAAACTATAGGAAAAACATAACACCTCCGACTAGTGGNACATAAAATTAATTTTTGATAATAGGAAATAATAATTAAGTTGACTAGAGTTGACTACTCCGAAATAATAAAAGATAATAAACAAATTACCACTTACTTAATATGCTAAGTAATGAACTTTAATGAAGTTTTAGTTTTAGTTGTTATAGAGGTGAACTGTCCGTGCAATTCGACCTGTAAGTCCATTGTGCGCACTTCAAAGAGTAACTGTCTCTCTGTCGATATTGAAAGATAAACTACACCACAAACTATAGGAAAAACATAACACCTCCGACTAGTGGTGTCATGTCCGGCAGACGGACACAAACTGGCATTTTTACATTGATAACACAAATATATTATTATGAGCATAAATATCGTACACAATAGTTAACAAGCTCTTAATTACCAAAAAATGTCTCAACTTTCTACGAATAATATGAAATTTGTTGAATTTCCGTTGGTTAATCATGATAATTCTTTAAATAAAAAATGAGCTCTAAACTTTATATGAATAAATTGTAATTTTTTTATGCAACACATTCGTGGTCAATTTTTAAGGACATGGAAAATGACCCCTAATTTTGAAAATAATCATTATTTCAGTTTTTAAAAATCGAATTTTAAGGCTTAATGATGATTTCCTGCAGAATGTACCTAAAATTTTGTTTAATAATTTAAAAATAATTCAGTCTAAAATTTATGTTTTAGTATGTAAGAACACTTATTACTATGTTCTTACCACTTATATTATACAGGTTTTATTTCCATTTACTCAATTCGTAATACATATTAATTAGCATAGAAGGAGATGCTGATGTGACAATTCTACTCATCTGCAGCCCGGAGCTACTGACATCAAACTAGCAAAGGGCAGTTGAGTTTGAGTGGCCTTTATAGACATACATTTCAGTGCTATCACTTCCGCCTTATTTATGTTATTAATAACTTGTTTTAATCAACGATTCGTCTATCGCCAATTGTCATCATAGCCAACCAACTTCGTATCACTTGGATATACCTACTTACCAACTGTACCAGAATTTAGGTCAGACATATTGTACATTACATATAACTTGTATTTGCTGAACATCTAAAATATAACTATACTTTGTCGTTGACATAAAACAATAGCTTAACCTTATTATATAATCTCTCTCCGGTAACTAAACTACACGATTGCCTGTGTCTCCTTCAGGTAATTAAAACTCATTCAAGGAGACAGGGACAATATTTGGGCAGATATCGGGTAGCTTTCGAGTATTGGTTATGACCAAGACCCTCAAGTATTAAAAAAAACCCTAACAAGAATTAGTTGTATTAACCAGAGTTTGAATGTTACAAAAAAAAAAAATGATTAATCGGTCCCGGTAAAAACAGAATTTTATTTAAAAGCGGAAACCGGTGTTGGCATAAGGTTAAAAAGCGGTTGTCAATTACATTTTTTTTTTTAGAAAATAAAGAAAATTAACGTTAATTGGTTGAAACCAGTTATATTTTTTTTTGGTTTCTAGCAGGCTTGAATTAAAGGAGCAAACGCTCCGACGACCATTGCAAATTTTACTAAACCATCTTGATTAATGACATACAGTTATTCTGATTTTTTTTTTTTTTGCTCTTCACTTTTTTAAGGTAGCGATATTTTCAATAGGGGAGCCCATTTCAAGGTTCCACCCTGGGATCCATATAGGTCTTAATCCGACTCTGGTTACCGGTTTTACATGTAAAAATTGGTTAATCATAAAATACAATTTTTAAGAACTTATTTTCACACAAAAAAAAAAATTTTCATTAGGTAATTTTTTACTACCCCCTCTTTAAGTATATTTTAACTAATAACTATTTTCTTTTTAGGGGTTGACACAAAATTGCTACTGTTGTTTTAATAACTACAGTAGTACAGTTCGGCTTTTATTCTGTGAAGGTATACATAAAAAAATTTTTCTCTGCTCTCTTTAACGAAAACAATATTGTATCTTCACAGTGTAATCATTTTTGTTATGAGAAAATTTATCACCTCTCCAATAAGTCTCGTCTTTTATTTATTATTTTATAAATACTTAATACTTAATAATGCATTTTCAATTCTAATCAAATCTCATTAAAATCAATTTATCATTTTTGTGTTTAACCGGCTAGTTTAAAGAAATTATCACTTTTTATTAAAACTCCAACTCTCTAATGTGTTAGTTGTTGGATTTTGGTTCATAATTTGCAAAAATATTCAGTTACTAGTAACAAATTACTGTTATTTTTGTTTTAAGACAAAAAAAACAGTATCACCTATTGATTAAGAAAAAGAGTTTTCACCGGAGTCCGAGGAAAATTGGTAACCGATTTCAACCAATATAATATTTTAAATATAACCAAAAATATAGAAATCAAACAATCTATATCAACCAAATAATTTTTTATTCGTCTAAAATAACAACTTTTTATAATATTTAATACAATAATTTGTAAAAAATAAATTTACAGTTTACAAGTTAACTACTGGTTACTTAATATATTTAAACAACATTATGTAGATAAACAAAATATGATTTAGTACCAAGAGCTCAACTTGGCTGTTAATATTAATTGTTTTTTTACTTTGCTGTAGATTTAAATTTTTGACTAAAGTTAATATTATTTATTTTATTTTAGATTTATCTAATTATACATTGCATAGATGAATTAACTAATATAAAGTTATAATTAGTGGTTTTTATCACAAGGTTAACAGACTAGTAAATTAATTACACTTGTTGATGGAATTTAAGTAAAATAATTTGTAATTGTTTAATAGTAATCTAATAGTATTATATCATAACATAAGTAATTAACAATAAGAATAGGTTTTCTTTATTTTATAAACTGAATCATTGGTATATCTTGACTTAGTGCTGAATTTTGAAATTCTTCTAAAAGCTAAAAAAGTAAATCAAAACTTAAAATAATTATGAATAATAATTTGATTTATAAAGCATATCAATGTGTATTTACTATACCATAACATTATAACTATACATATTGATAATTATTAATATAAATTAGAGTATAACAAAACAATTATATACCCACAAACTTATTTATAAATATTTTATTTAACTCATTATACTTGCATCAAAACAAATTTCTGTCTCCACGAGGGCTCTATTATGAGCATTGTTTGAACAACATGCCAACAATGTAGGAAACAACACAGAAATTAACGTAGGATTACTAAAATACTGGAAAGGTAAATTACATAACAATTGAAGTACTGTTGGTGATGGTCCTGATTGTAACATCGACTGTAAAAAAATATGAAATTAAGAATTTGTAACAGTAAAATTGTATAAAATATTACTTGGTGAAGAGAACTATTCAAGGAAAAGTATCCAACAGCTACTATAACTTCATTTAATAAATCTCTATTTTCAGGCTTTTCTGAACAAAACCATAATAAATATCTGGCTATATGTCTAAACTGAACTGATAAGCTTTCAACTTTTAGCACCTCCTATAAAATTAAATAATCATAAGTAATGTTATAATATTGTATTTTAAAAGTTTTACTTGAAATGTATTAGAATCCATTTTAGCTACTGAAGTCAACATGTTAAACAACGCTTTGGTTACTTTAAGAGTTGTTAAAGACAGTTCTATTGGACCAAGACCATTAGTGCTACAATCATTGCGTAGTAAAATACTATATAGAACTGGCATTACACCCATCAATTCTGAATTTTTCAGAATTTCAATAAATTTTTTTACAAATAAATCAGTACTGAAATAATGCATAAAATATTTTTTAGATGTTATCATAAAAATAAAAATATTAACAATTTTACTTTATTTTTGATAGACTACTGATAAAATTTAAACAGTAAATTACAAATTCGGATACATTCTCATTAGTTTCTGGGTAACAATCTCGAACCAAAGTAAAAAAGCAGTTCATTTTTTCAAGAATACCAATATAGCATATATAGCTAAAAAAAAAATACAAATATTTATATTCATTGATAAATTGAATACATTTAATTTAGTATTAGATCTACTAACACTTTTAATGTTTACAAAAAAATAAATTCTGGCGTCAGAAACTTTTTGTTTAACTATCAAAAAACTAAATTAAATAAATACTTAATAAAATCTTAAAAATTTAAATCAAAAATAATTTTGGATTTTTGAAGGCTAATATTTGTGAGTTTAAAAAATATTTAATTTAAATGAAATATATTTAGTGTATAATTAATTCTGGTTAACTGAACAACATTCTATATGTGATATTAGAACAATTACATATTATATTAGAATACCTCAAAAAATCATTAATTTGTTCCTTATCTTCTAGTTCATCATGTTTAAATGATAGCATAACAACACTTAACAAATCTAAAAGTTGACCACTTATTAAACAATCAGTTGAAGTTTTTAGTTTAAAATTATTGTCTATTCCACTCTCAGGGATAACTTTCTATAATTGTTAAAAATTATATTAGTTAAAAGAATACAACTTTGAATCACATTTTGTTAATATTAATATGAAAAATACATTTAACTTCACCAGAAGGAAATCCAGTATAATAAAAATATTTGCCGAATACATTACACTAGCTGTATTAACTTCATTAATATTCAATATTTTTTTATATATTTTGATGGCTTTAAAAACAATCCTTAAAAAAGAAATAAAATATTCCAATTATTAATTTTTATAATAAAGAAAAAGTTGTTATTAATTTTAGCTATGATGCGAAGTTGAGAAGGTATTTTAATAATTAACTTACTTAGAAAGAAATTCGTAACTTGCTGATTTCTCTTCATTTAGTGCTAATATAAGTATATTATTTAAACTGTTAAGCCCATTACTACGTGAAACTAATAATTGAAAATCTTTTATCTATAAACATGTTATAGATGTTAGTAATTAAGAAATATTAAATTGAATATATTGAGTAAAATTTAGGCTAATTACATAACACTTACTGGGATTTCATTAGATCGTTTTTCCAAAAATAATAATTTTGTCTCTAAGTTTTTTATAATATTTTTTGACCACTGTTCATTTGTTAATTCTTTCAAATGTTTAGCAATGGAATTAACACAAATTTCTATGGTAGTTTTATCAATGGATACATCAGATTTACTTATATTGTCCTTACACTTATTTCTTCTATAATAATATTTAAAAATCAATTAATAAACATTAAATTATGCATTGAGAAAAATAAAGCTATAAAATAAAAAAATTATAACATTTATCTATTATTTACACCTAAATTATTACATATAGAGATTCATCTATAGTAATAAATTCAAATTTATTTAACATATAAATGTTTACATTTTTTACTTCATAACATATTTTAACTAGTGAACTAATGATATTTTATTAAGTTCAAGTTTCAAGCAAAGTATTGTTTATTAAACAATACTCTAAATTCAGTTTTAGTAAATAAATTAATAAGCGTTAACCAAAATATCAATATAATAGTAAAATCGTCAAATGATCTCAATAAATTACCTAGTTAACATTTTGTGTCTTAATTTCAAACATCTTTTACGGTTATTTTTCATTTGTAAATTACTTCCAGGTTTTTCATCAACACTATCTAAATTTAAAGATACACTGTCAAGTGAGTTAGCTATCTTCAATTTCTTTTTATTTACATCTTTGCTAAATTTGTCTGCAGAAACATTTTCTACTTTTATCCGTCTTTTAGTCTTTTTAGTGCATTCTCTATGAGTTTTTGTACGTAAATGATGGTGTAATGCAATTACTGTATCAAACTATAAAAAAATAAACATACATTTACTTTTAAATAAGATGAAAATTTAAATATCATTATTAGATGAGTCCACTTTTATATGCATTCATAAAATTTATTTAAACTTCTAAAACACAAAATGGTAGAGAAAAAAAAAATTTTCAGAGTTATATGACTGATGCCCCTCACCAAAACTCTTGTTTTACTATAACCAAAACAAATATAAAACTGAACTTAAAACTAATGTGTAACTAGAATTCCTCAAAAAAAAGTTATAATGGCATATAAATTTAGGCACTGATTTATAAATAAAAACCCAAACTAACAATTATTTCACAAGGTGAGCAGTATTTGTCCATATCTACATCATTTTTTTGAACACCCAACTCAAGGGCTCTTTGTCTTATGTGTTCAATGTTTTGTTCATGACGTTTAGCTGATTCTTTTTGTTTCTGTTGGATTTTTTTCTGAAGTTCTTCTGTACTAGCTACTTGAGCTGCATACAATGCTGTTAGTTTATTTTCTCTTTCTTTTGCTTTTTCTCTAGCTAGTTCTAATCTTTCTTTTTCTTTTTCTTGTTGTTCCCGACCAATTCTTTCTTCTTTTATTCGTCTTCTCTCTAAAATTTGTTCAATACGCTCTTGACGTTCTACCTCTAATGCTTTCAAACGCTCTTCGACAGCAGCTTCTTTAGCAGCTTTTCGTTCTTGATTACGCTTGCGTTCTTCTAAAATAGTTTGTAACCGATCTTCTTGCTCTTGCCACAAAGTTAATATATCATGTCTTCGATTTTGTGCTTCTAACTCATTTATAAAAGCTATTTCACGAAGTTTTTCTTCTTCATCATGAGCTTTTTTTTGAATCTGTTGCAAATGTTGTTTACGATTTTCTTCAGCACGTTTAAGTTTCTTATCTATATTTACACGCTTTTCATCAATAAGTTGGGTCTGCAACATTTTTCTTTCACCTACCTTGAGTAAAAAATTAACAAATAAAATTTAATAATTTTTAATGGATATTTCAAAAATTAATCAAATTAAAATTTATACAAATAACTAATCTCTACCTTTTTAAGCAATTCGCGCACTTTAGAAGATTTGTCTTGTAAGAGTTGTTGCCTTTTTTGATGTGCTTTTGCTTGTCTAGCACTATAAGTTTGTTTAATAGATTCAGTAGATTTTCCAATATCCCATGGTTGCATTCCAATAGAATAAATAGCACTTTCATTTCCATATTCTATTAATGCTTTTATTTCATTAATGGTGTACATTCGTTCTGTCAAAATCATATTATCTAATAAATCAGAATAACGATCAGATTGAGTCATATCATCACTACAACTACTCTCAGCATTTTCTAATTCTCGAATTTCTCTAGCTAATAACATTTCTTCATCAAAAAATTGTCTATTTCGTAATAATTCTTCATCGCACATTCGACGTTCTTCTATTTCATTTTTCAATATCTCTTTCCTAATTTGATCTATTTTTTTAAATTTTTTCTCTAAAGGTTTTTCAGTTTTACGCTTTTTTTTAGGAAAAGTTACAGCATTAGAAATAATTGGCCTGTCATTTTTATCAGGATAAGTACTTTTAGGTTCAAGCTCTTCAGGACTAGAAGCTATGTCTAAAGCTAGAGTAGGCATAGAGTGTGCAGATGATGGTACTTGAAATCTTTTTTTGACATCATTTGGTGCTTTTAGCTTAATACTACTAGAACTTTGTGTTAATGGGTTACTTCGTCGGGATCGTATGACTGTTTCCCAACCATCATTTCCTTTAACTATTCCACGTTTTGACATTTTTGGAGGCTTAATGTCAATAGACGTCTTAGAGCGAATTATTTTGTTTTTTTTTTCATTACTTATTACATTTAATGACTCAACAGACTTTTTTTTAGACTTACTTAAATCAATCTTCAAATTATTCTTATTAATTATAGTTGGTAACTCATTGATAATGCTATTAGTAGTATTAATATTGCTATTTCTATCATTATTTTTTAATAATTTATCAGAATTATTGATACTGGTAATAATTTTTTTTGAGTCAATTTTTAATTTGTTTTCAGTCATTTGAATATTAGAGGAACTTTTTCTAGAAGATTCCAAAGTTTTTCTATTAATAACTGAAGTAGATTGGGATAAATGAGATATTGATACACAATTCCTCTTTAATGGTTCAATTTTATGTTTTTCTTTGTCATTTTGTATCTGTTTTACACCTTTAACTGGCTTAGGAACAAAAACAGGAATTTTTTTATTTTTAACATTATCTACAACTGATGATTTAACAATAGGTTTTGTAATAGGTTGAAAAACTTTCTTTGTGATATCTTGATCAAATTCAAAATCAGTTTGACAATATTGATTTGAAAAAATTTTTTCAGATAAATTGTTTTTTTTATCATTTTCATTAATATCACTTATACTTTTATCATTTAATGATTCAGATAATAGATCTAATTTCCTTCGTGTCAGCCCAGGAGAAACACAAGAACGCTTTTGAAGCATCTAATAAAAAACACAATATAGAATACATCATAAATCAAATCAGAATTACCCTAATGATAATTAAAAATACTAACTTTTCTAGGTGAAGCCCCTCTAATTTCCCAGGCAAGGAAATTAGGTCTTTGAGGGGGATCAGTGTGTTCATACTCCCATTTTAATCGAAACCACTCAACAAGACTATGAAAGTCATGAATATAATTTTGTAAAACCATTATAGCTTCCTGAGAATAATAAATAGAAGTAATGAGTTAAAATCTTACAAAAAAAAAAAAACTATAGAACATTATACTAACTTTGCATTCATAAACATTTTCATCAGTTTCACATATCTGATATATTTCATCAATATTGCGTCTTAAATTATCAAATAAGAATATCCATGATCGATTTCTAAGTTCTAAATAAAATATATTAATAGTAAATTAAAACTTAATTAAAATTATTAAACTAGTATAGTGAAATACTCTATAAATTTATACAAATTTTAACTTAATAAGTAATTATTAACAAACTAACCTGAACGTTTATCTCGACCCGCTGAAGCTGATCTTATGCGTAATCCAAGTGTTTGACGATTAGGCCACATTCTCATCCTGTTGCCAATCACATTATTTATACCAATTTCCATTTTGAATTGAATAGCTATCAATAATCAATATTAATGTATCATAACACAATATTTTAATAATAATTCGAAATTTCTTTATACCTAAATTAAAATTTAAAAACCATAAATACAAATGAAGTTTTATAGTAATAAAAGTACTTACATTCATTTATTTTTAGTAGTAATTAAAATTAATTCTTCACGATTAACAGGTATTTTACTACGCATAACAAAAATATTTATTTTTCAATTTTCAGAGGTTATCAATATTTTACTGATTTGGTACTTTTGTTATCAATGAAATAGTCTGTTAACTGATATTAAGAAAAATCTGGCGCGGAAAAGTGGTTTTAACGAAAATATATAAAAGAATATCATGAATTTCATTAATCAGATAAGTTTATTTTTTATTAATGTATAAAGAGAACACAATTTTATCAAAACTTTTTGTTAAATATTATAAATATTTAATATTTATAATAAATAAATATTAAATTATTAATATTTATATTAAATATTTTTTCTAGATTAAATATCTCTATAGAATTATAGAACTCGTTTTTGTACTGAATTACGCAAAAAAATCATGTTTATTCAAAATAACAAAAAATATTTGCTGTTAAAGTTTGACTTATCTTAATGTTGCACTAAGCTTAAGCCTTATTAAATAATATTTAAGTAAATAAAAAAGTATAATTAATCCAACAATTTTCTGAATTAGATAACAAAAATAATTTAATTATTATATAATAATTATAAACAAATGTAATTAAATTTAATAACTGAATATATGAAATACAAGTAATAAATAACTATGTAATATTTTATGTGTGGGAGTCATTTGAAGGTTATTTTTTAAGATTTCACTTTTTTTTTTATAATAGGTATTATACATTTATTAATAATAACAACTGCGTATGAAACAAAAAAATAATAGGAAAATTAATGAATAGAAAAAAATTTGATATTAATTTTGATATTAATACAGCCATCATTTAAAATTTATCTGATAATCTGTATAGATATTTATTTTAGTTTCGATGAGTGTAACTGACATAGTATTAGTTTTTCTGTATTTTTTTTACAGTTATTTTTTCTCAGCTCCTATTGGATCGATTTTAGTTAACGTACGTCAGAATATTACAAATCTTATCTAGTTTAATACATTACCCTCAAAAATTCCCTCGTTTCCCATAAATGAAGAAAATTTACTAAAATACTCCGTATTTTTAGAAAAATTTGAATTATACATTTTTAAAAAATTATTGAATTAAAACGAATTTTTTTTATTAAGACCTTGAATATTTTCGTTGCATAATGTAGGCTTTTTTTTTTTTAAGAATCAAATACTACCTCCCTCGGAGAAATTTAAAAAGGCAAAGTTTTTCCAACTTTTGGAATGTTCTGGCACTTTTAAATGTATTTTTAATTAAAGTATTAGACTTTACTTTTAAAAGATGTTTGATCTTTGAATTATGAGTAAATAGGCGTCAAAATTAAATAAAAGTACGGTTTTTAAGTAAAAATTACAAAATTCAGAAATATATATTTGTATTCATTAACAAATAAATTAATTAATCAATTGAATCGGTCAATTCAAAAACGACATAAGTCATTAAATTCTAATTTTTCAAGAACCAAAAAAAAATCAATTACTCTAGAAATTCGACTTTTTTTCACTTACACCTATTTACAAATTTATTTTTAAGGTCTCTGTTATTCATAATCCATAGTTTTAAATAGTCTAACTTTTACTAAAATGCATAAAGTTCAAATAAAATAAATTTGACTTGCGTTGTTTTTGTAAATTTCAATCAATAGAAATTTATAATATACAATCTAAGTCAAGAAATAAAATAAAATAGATAAACACAGTAATGTTAATAATATTTTTACACTAGCTGAAATAATATTTTTTAAATAAAATAATTTTTATTTTAAATTAACAAAACTTAACTTTTTTTAACTTTACAAAAAGTAACAAAATTTAAAAACAACTGATTGAAACTTAACAAAGACAATATAAAATAAACCATTGCACATTTCATAGTACAAATTATTTTACAAAAAATAAAATATTTCTTTTTTCTTAAACAACAAAAACTTTTTTAACTTGACAAAATTATACATTATAAGAGCATTTTTGAATGAAACTTGATAAAAATCAAAATACAATAAAAAAATGTAAACTAATATTAAATTATTAAAAACAACTGATAAAAACTTAATAAAAATAAAAATACGTTAATACATAATATTTTGAGAATTGTCATGGTACGTAATCATATTCCCCATCTAGTTCTACATTTTCAGCTTCCATATTTTGTTCATCAGCAGTTGGCCATTTATATATTTCTTCGTAACATAACCTATGCTCCTCGATTATACTATCTTTAACTTGTCTTAAGTTTTCAATCTTTTGGGATTTTATTGGCACTTTATTATTATACACCTTCGCTGTTGGCAATGCTGTATTATTATTAGTTTAAATGTGTGTTTTGATTACCCATCGATAAAATTATGTGTAAATACAATACCTTTATAATTTGTATTATATTCGAAACTCATGTAAGTAGATGGGGTAAAGGATTGCTTTTGGTCCTTGGGAATTTTTTTTCCAAATGTCTCAACAGATAAACATGTCTTTTTATAGTATGATGGCCACCATTTTTAAAGTCATAAACTTGATTCGTCTTAAACTTTATTACTTTGAACTTTTCACTGCATTCATTCACTATTTTAATATATTCATCTGGCACATATATACGATCATGTTTTCTTATTTTTTTTTTTATAACTCCAAAATCCCGATCGTTAGGTAAAAATGTATGACCTCTTAATGGGAAAAAGTAGTAAATCCTTTTAAATCGTTGACTATCTGTCAATGCTAGCAAAAATCGTATAACGGTATTATTTTTGTTTTGGTCAGGACAACTATCACAAAACAAGTAAAATTCTTTTATACCTGAATTAATGTTTTTATTTACATAATCCAGTAACATAGAGTACACATCGTTGGACCCATGGCAAGCTTCACCCTCGTAGTACTTGTAAAATGTAGATTCTTCAGTTTTCAAATTTTTAATCCCAAAACAATTCACCCATAATTGTCTTAAATAAAAAATATCTTGTACTGGTATGTTTGGTAGGAGTAAGTTTTGCATAAAATCAAAAAGTGCGATCTGTGAATGACAGTAAAAACTACACAAGTCAATGACTTGTTTAATTTTTGCAATTATTCTAGTTTCTTGTAGTAAATATTGTATTAAATATGAGTCTGATAAATGTAGTTTTTATACAGAATACGTAACCAGGTATATAATTATCAAATTTGACAAAAAGTCATTATTGAAAAATTGATGACTTATGTCGTTTTTGAAATGATTCAATTGCTTATTTGATCAAATAAAATAAATCAAGATCACACACAAAATCTACACTCAAAAATTTAAATCATTTTAATAGAGAAACCATGTATTTATAGAAGAATGTCAAACACCCCTCTTTCTACAAAAACATCTAAAAAATACTTTTGTATACTTTTTTAGTGATTTATAAATTAATATACTTATTTCGTATTTAAATATGTTATAGTATTATATGTTAATATGTATAGTGTTATACATAAGGGTATAATTAAAAATTCTTAAGTTTTTAAACATATAATCTGACTACAATCATAAAAATGTATTGTGAAATGAAAGATACGAATGAAATCAAAGAGACCTCTTACTAAAATTGTGATGCTTAATTAACATGAAATTCATAAATTATTGGCCAATAAACTAAATTATACACATAATTTAGTTTCAAGTTTTGTAAGTTTATAAATTTATCATTTTTGAGCTACTTTAAGAAACCCTAGTGAGAGCAAAAAACTTAGCTGTGTAAAAAATCAACGTGAATAATTTTGAGTAGACTTAGACTTAGCAAAATTGCTACATTATTACGTTAAATACTTTGCTTAGTTTTTAATTCAATTAAAAATTTGGATATTAATACTATCAGAATTGCTCTAAATAAATACATTGTACTCTGAAAATATACTAATAAATAAACGTATGAACCTTTTTATTTATAAATAGCTTATTAGTCAAAAAAAATGTTATTAACAATATATATTTAGTTTAATCCAAAATTATTAGATTTATTATTTTAATTTTTACATAATTATTCATATTTCTCTCTACAAGTATAATCAATTCAGTGGCATAAATATATAAATTTGGACCCAATACAAAAAACACTAAGTGCTCCTTTTCATTTCAGTTTAAATGTAAACAAAATATTTATCCAGGAAAAGCCATCTAAATTTATTAGGCCTTTTTTCACTGTAAAACAAAATATCACGATTGCTTACTCAAAGAAAAAAATATTATAAAAGTGCAAACTAATAAATATTGCATTATTAACCATTCTGTGAATAAATTGAGACACAATGTAGTTAATGAAAAAATGAAATAATTATAACAAAAAGCTCAAAATATATCATGAAATCAACACATATTTTAATTATAATTCAAAAACATTGAAAAGTATTTACAAAATTTTTTAATTAAAATGAAGTATAAAAGTATCATAAGTATAAAAGTGTACACATTAATCATATAAATAAAAAATGTTATCATTTTTTACTCATAAATAAACTAAATAATTTATTAGGAGTACTGCTAGCTCGTCTCCTAGAGTTTGAATTTGACTCTTTTGTTTCCTTCAATGAACTTTTCCCATTACCCTAAAATTATATATTATTAATTACATGTATTTATTTATATTCAACTTGTAATTAAAATATTAATGTACAATTTTGAGAAAACATCAATTATTTTTTGAAATAAAATTACAATTTTGATTTCATCTTGTAAAGTAGATAAAAATTTTATTGAAAACTAATTGATAAACTTTAAATGGTTCCATGAAATATGGCTCAAAATTTATACATTTTAGTATAAGTAATAAATAATTTTCTAATTTTTAAGTCAACTCACTGATAATGATACACGTCCACCATTTTTACTTGGAGTAGGAGGTCCAGGTTTTTTATATGATGTCTATAATCATAATTTAATATTTAATATTAATTTTACAAAAGGAATTTAATAAACATACCTGATTTCTGTCTTTTTTTTTTCGATCATTAGGTATTAAGTTTTCACATTCATTATCACTATAATTAGTTGTAGTCTAAAAAAATGAAACGGATATAAATTTAGTTAAGCAGTAATATTTTGAAAAAGAAACAACCTTAATATCTTCTTCAGTTATCAATGAAGCATTAGGCAAATAATTGGTTTCAACAGCATAACAACTTCTCAAATGTGGTGGGCAAAGAGAATTACGAGCTTGTAATTCTGATAATCTTTCAGCATGTGACTTTCCATTGTTATCATTTAATTTAACTCTACCTTGTTTCAAATCTGCTAAGCATGAATGATTAAACATTTCACCTTCTTCATCTTCTTCTTTAGGAAATATTTTACCTGTAAAAAAATTATGTAAAAATGATAAGTTTAAAAATAATTTTATACAAAAAGAATGCATGCATTTATTAAATAAATTTTTTATTGTTTTAAGTCATGACAATTTAATAAGTTATTTATTAGATGCATATAACAAAATCAAGCAGTTAAAGTATAAGGGAGTAAAATAGTTTTTATTTAATAGAAAAATAGTTTTACCCAATTCCAGATTAATTTTATTAGTATTCAAATACCATCATTAAATTATTAATGATACAATTATTTTAAGAGATGTACTACCGGTGATACACTGGAAGCCTAAAAATGATATGCGATAGAAATTTTCAAAAAAATATTAGTAGTCACATTTTATTTGGCTTATTTAATAAATAAAACATTTTCATAATTTTTTAGTTCTTTAAAAAAAACTGTCCCATATGAAAATATATGAATATTGAAAAACAAAATAAGTTTGTTTTAAGTTCATTTGAAAGTTTTTCAAAATGTTAAGGTAGTACTTAAAATAAAAAAGTCAAGAACCACTATTATATCAAATAAAAAAACATTACTTTTCTTAATGAAATTAAAATTTTTTTAGCCTCAAAACCACAAGAGAAGTTTTCAAAAGATAAAATTAATTTTTTTATACATATACAGAGTGGCCCACCACTCACTGACAACTTAAATAACTTTTGATCCAGTTAATATTTTTAGCTGATTTTTTTTATAAATAATAGTTATATGTTAGGTCNAAAATTTTCACAAACTTCAAAACGCAATAGAATATTTACTACTCAATATTAATAAGATATTTTTCTTAAATTCTACTCTACAAAATAGCTATCTTAGATTTTTTTTTTACATTTTATTTAAAATTTAAAAATAAATAATATTTTTAATAAAATGTAAAAAAATTAATTATTGAGATATAGCTATGGACCTAACATATAACTATTATTTATAAAAAAAATCAGCTAAAAATATTNACTATGGACCTAACGTATAACTATTATTTATAAAAAAAATCAGCTAAAAATATAAACTGGATCAAAAGTTATTTAAGTTGTCAGTGAGTGGTGGGCCACCCTGTATATTTTCTCCATTTAATTTTGTATGGCACAAACAAATTTTTTCTGAGTATTAAAAACTTAGGGTTATTCAAGCGTTATTTAAAATAATATTTATAATATATGTTGTCTGAAGAAGGTTCAGTAATCACATGTAAAAAAAATTCTTCTTGAATATGGTCTTTTGAGCAACACTACACACTACTGTCTAGTTAATACATTATATAAATTTAAATGTTATTTTTTTGTTGTAAGTATATAAATCATATTTATCATAAACCTCCATGATAACTTCTTAAAAAACTCATTCTGAATAAACATTTTTTAAGAAAATATTAATAAGTTAGTTGCTTGTTAGTAACGCACCAGAGGATAAACTGAATTTTTTACCAATTCCAGTAGGTACATTTCTTTTATTTTGACTTAATTGTGTGGATTCATCAACTAAAGATCTGAAAAATAACATATGTTATTTTTATTAATTCAAGAAGTATATAAAATAAATAATTTAATAAAGTTTATCAAGTATAATTAATTAATATTTCACAGCACAAATGTTTTATATTTAGATTTCTAAGTAAATTTCTTTATTAAACTTATATAAAAAATTATAATTATTTTTTTTACTAAGGATTATTGAATAAAAAGTAACTAATAGAATATTAATTTATATCGTTCATCTTCATAAAAAATAAATTACTATATGAACTTTTAAATTTAATATGTTTTATAATTTAAATAGAGTGATTCATAACATATGTGCTAATAAATAATGAAATAGCAAAACAAGATTCAAAAAGTCAATTTTAATTTAAAAATATGTTTAAATATCATTCTTACTTAATATGTCCTACTGAACTAGACTTGGGTAATGTATTAGAATTGTACTTCGAGACTGAGGATAACTGTTAAAAACAATAAAAAATGAGAGTATAAGCCAAATTATCATTATAATATGAAGTAATAGGATAAATAAAATAATTTTAAATTAAGTCTGTACTTCAATATTTTGAGTTGCACGGCAACAAAAATACTAAAATACACTTATTTTAGTATTTATTAACATCAGACTATTTCTGGGTAAAAAACGTTTTTCATCATGAAACAATTTTGATATCTATAGTAATTAAATAAGTCTGATTCTTTCTCAATGTAGAATTAAAAATATTAAATATATTTACATTAGATACATTTGATAATATATCAAATGGTAAGGATGCAGTTGATTCTCTTCTTTCTTTTTGTTGAAGCTTTAAATATTTTTCACTAACTTCCCACAATTGTTGACCAAGCTCTTTTATATGAATTTCATCTTTATTAATCTATAAAAACAATAATTTGTTAAAATCAATTTTTTTTCATTTGCAAATAATAAAAACAGTAACACAGTAGGGTCGAGGCACAGTGTAGACATGGATTAGTTAAAACAAAGTGGTATCAAACAAACACGCAAAAAAAAAAAACACATTATAGTAAAATTAATACCTTCTCAGCTTTGTATTGTAAGCAATAGTATTTGAGTGCATTAGAAATACTAAGAAAGCATAAAGTAAAAAATAACATATTTGTTAATTATTAAAAACATTAAAATACCTTTTCTTTATACTTTAATAATTTGGCTTCATAATCTTGATGTATTTTGGTTTCAAGATCTTTACAAAATTGTTTCTAATTTTAGAACAAATATATTTTATTTAAAATAATTCAAGTTAAACATATATTAACATTCAAAACAATAAAATATTTACCATTTGTTCTCTTTTACGTTCAAATTTTTTCTCATATTCAGATGTTACATATTCCTGAGTTTTCTGTTGTACTTTGGTCATTTTGTAATTACACTCTGTTTTTAGTTTTAACATTTCATTTTCTAAGTTTTTAATTTTTTCATGTTGTCTAATATATAATGAATAACCATTTAATAAATAAATAGAGAATATTTAAAAAAAATATTGATACATACATTTTTGATTTGGCTAATAACTCAATATAAGCTTCATCAGTTATTGGTTGACCATCAGTTTGGGTTATTGCTCGTAAACTACTTTGAGTATTAATATTAATTATGAACATTTTGAGTGCTTCAAATAATTTTTTTAATCGTTCAATTATAGAATATTCATTAAGATTACCAAGTAGTCCTAGTTGAATACCATTTTGTTCAATAAATGTATCCGCTGATGTAATTACTTCCATCAACGAATTCTGATGATCTACTTCTATTGGTTCAATTTTGACAGTATTAGTAGAAAGACTCAAAAAATCTAACATGTATTTTTCAAACTCTTCTTTTTTATTTTGAAGAAATAATTTTAAGTTATCTTTTGCTTCTTTTAAGTAATTCACTTCTTGTTTCATTACACATAGTGTACTTTGTTTTATTTCAATTTGTTTCATAACTTTAGACAATTGTAAACTAAATTGTTTTTCAATGTAGTTTAACTTGCTTTCTACAAATGAAAACAGCTGCACAGCTTCTTGTTGCAATGATTTTAACAGAGATTTTAACATATTTAATTCATTAATAAAAGCAATGTTTTTATTTTTGAAATAATTAATATCAACTTTTAATTTGCATAATTCAGTATCTCTCTGTAAAAGAGTTTCATTAATCAATTTAATATCATCTCTTAAAAGTTTTTTTTCATTTTTTAATGAAGTAATTAGGCTTTCTTGTTCATCAGATTGTACTTTTTGTTTGACAAGTTCTAATTGTAAATCAATATAAGGTTGCTTGATCTCGTTTAAATTTTTGTAAGATACTTCCAGTTTTTCTTTCATTTCATGATGAACATTCTCGTTTTCCTTCAATTGTAATTCTAAGTACTCTTTTAGATTCAGCAGTTCAATAATTTTTTTTTCATTATTATTTAGCTTTTCTACATTTATACTTAAATCATAATCTTTTTTGGCCAAACTATTTTTTAAATGGTTAATTTCATTACAAAAATTATCTTTTTCCGATGTTAAAATAGCTATAAGATTATCTTTTTCTTCCAATTCTTTAGTACGGAAGGCCATATTTGTTTTTTCAATTGTCAATTTTTCTTCTAAAGAGTAAAGCCTATTGGTCATTTCATCAATTTGTAACATTAAATTATTACGAGTATTTTCAAGTTCAATATTACATCGACTCAAATTATCAAATAATGATTCTTTTTCATTTGTTAAACTATCAAAAGAGTGTTCATATTCTTGTATTTTTGTTTTATTAGCAACTATAACCAAATCTTTATCACTTAGTGTATGTTTCAATGAATTAATTTCTTTTAATAAATTTTTTTTTTCTGAATTTAGCTCTGCTATTAAATAATCACAACTAGCCAACTTTTTCAATTGTTCATTAAATTCTGTTTGCTTTTCTTTAAATTGATCTTTAATATCTAAAAGTTCTTTATTTATATTTTCACAATCTTTAAATGATTCTTGTTGCTTAATTTCTAAAATCGCTTTTAATTCTTCTATTTCAGATTGCAAAAATATTTTTTCAGCTTTAATTTCTCTAATGTTTTTCTCTTGTTCAGATATAATTTTTTCAATATCAACTATTATTGAATCTTTTTCTACTAAAGAACTATTTAGACGTCCATTTTCAAAAGTCAAATTATTTATTTTTAATTTCAAAGATTCCATTTCTTTTAATTTTTCATTTAATAGTTTTATTTCTTTACATGTGTCTTCTTGTTTGCAATTCAATTGACTTTGAATATCAAATTGTTGATTTAGCTCTTCTTTAGTGTTAATGAGCTGATTTTTAATTTCATTAAGTTGCAATTCCAATGATGATTTTTCATTGTTCATATTAAATAAATCTTTTTCTAAATTATTTATGGTAACACTACAATCATATAATTTACCCTCAGAAAGATTAAATTCATATTCTTTGTGAGATAAACTGTTTTCGACACTGTTTAATTTGTTAGAGATGTCTTCCTTCTCTTGAGATATTTTTTTAAATGTCTCTTTTTGTTCTTCAAGAAGCTGAATTTGTTTGTTTAATTCTATACTTTTAATATTTAACGCTTCATGAACTTTTACAAGTTGCTGTTCAATTATAGCTTTTGAACATGTATTTTCAGATAAATCATTTTTTAAACATTCTATGTAACTATCTTTTTGTTCTAAATAACCATTCAACTCAGTTATATTATCTTGTAACTTGCTGCATTGATTTTCAAAATAATTTACAGTTGCTTTTAAATTATTATTTTCTTCTTTTATACATTCAAAATCACTTTCTTTTATTCTTAATTCACATTCTTTTTCTGTTAACGCTTTCTTAAGATTATCAAGAGCATCATTTAAATCTCTTATTTTCTCATCATAGTCTTCTACATTACTTTTTAAATTATTTTCTAAATTCAATTTTTCTAAAGAAACAATATTTAATTGTTCCTTTAAATTTTGAGATGTCATTTCTATTTTATAAATCTTATCTTCTTGACATTTTAACTCATTTTTCATGGTTGCCACACATTTATTATAGTCAATAATTTGACTATCTAACTGCTCTTTTTCCATCTTTAACATTTTTGAAATTTCAATTTGTTCTAGTGATAAAGAAATCTGATCATCAAGTTCTACTTTTCTTTCCTGTAGTAAAAGTTCGAGATTTGATGAGTGATTTTTCAAACAACCAATTTCTTCAGCTCTTTCATTTAATTGCTTAACCATTTCATTAACTTGTTTAGTAAAATCTTCACGTGAACTTTTTATTTGATCAACAGTTTCATTCAAATTAGTTTCAAGCATTACTTTTTCAATAGACATAACTCCTAATTGTTCTTCTAAGTTTTTAATATGTATATTTTTATCAAAAATATTGTTTTCTAAATTTGTGACTTCACTTTCTTTAGTTAATAAGATCTTTTCAATACCTACTAGTTTTTCTTCTAAATCACAGCGTTGTACTTCCAAACTGTTAATATTTTCTTTTAGTTTTTTTAATAAATCGACTTTCTTTTCCATATCAGTGTTTTTTTCATGTAATGTACATTCTAAAGATTCCAATGCACTTTCTTGCATTTTTAATTTATTTTCAGAAATCTCTAAGCATTTTTCTGCTTTTATAAGTTGCTCATTATACATATCCTTCATATTTTCCATGTTTTTTGTTACTAATTGTAACTCTTCATCAAGTTTCTTAATTTCCTTAACTTTGGAATTATGTATTTTCATTAAATTATCATAATCCATTTCTTTAGCAAAAAGTTTCTCTTGCAATGATTTTATAATAATTTCTTGATTCAATATATTTTCTAAAGCAACTTTTAAATCATATTCAACAGACAATTTTTCTTTTGTGAGTATTGATATGACATCAATATTATTGTTATTTAATGTAACAATATTTTCAAGTTCTTTTTGTTTTTCATTTAAAGCTGAAACATGTTGTGTTATATTTTTTTCTAATTTTTTTATTTCATTTGTTTTTGCTATCAAATCATGATTAAGTTTTGATACTTCTTTGTTTAATGTAAATTTTTCACTTTCTAATAAATTAATCACTTCTTTTTGGTCACTATTTGACTTCATTTGTATGTCTAAATTCTTTTGTTTGCCATCCAATGTTTTTTCTAAATTTAATATTTTTTTTGTAGAATTTTCAAGTTCTTCAATATAATATTCTAGATAGTTTTCCATTTCTAATATTTTACTTTTTGACAATTTCTCTTGAGCATCAATTTTTTCTGATAAATTTTTTAACTGGTTTTCAGTAACAACCTTTTCTTGATATACCATTCCTAACTGTTCTTCTTTTACAGATAATATTTGACAATTCTCTGATAGTTTATTTTCATATAGAGTAATTTGATTACCTCTACTTTCTAAATCTTTTTTTAAATCTGTTATATTGTTTTCTAATTCTAATATCTTCTGAGAAAGTTTATTTTCTGAAACTTTAAAATTTTCAATTGAGACTAATAAGTCAGTGACTTGCTTGTTATTTTCTTCATGTAACTCTTCAATTTCAGTATTAGTTTTTGTCAATATTAGTTCAATCATTGTTTTTGATTTTTTTATAATTTCCATTTCAATTAATAAGTCTTTAATTTTACTTTCTTTTTCATTCAACTGTGTATAGACCGATTTAATAACATTTTCTTTATCTTTGATACAATTTTTTAAGCAATTATTTTTGGTTTCCAATGAAATTATCTTTTTACGAGACTCTTGTAACACTTTTTTTTTATTTGAACAATCATTTATAAGATCTTTATGATTTGTTTCATTTGTTTCTAGTTGTTGTTTTAACTTTGTTATTTTTGAATTTAATTCTTGAAGTTGATTTTCAGTCTATAAAAATAATATTAATGAGTATCATTAAACAAAAGACCTTAAAATTTTAACTTCATACAAAAATTTAAAATAATAGACATTAATTTTTTATTTTATTTTGTTATAAGTTATTACTAGAAAAAATATATATTAAGTAAACCATTTAATGAAAATTTTCGAGGTGACTTTTTTTTAAATTTTAATGACTATTAATCATGTTATATGAAAAACCATAAATTATGAAAAATTAAAAATGAAAAAACCTTTATATAATTTGTTAATTTGTGAAAGATAAGTAGTAAAAAGTATGTATAATATACATTCCAGTGAACATTTTTAAAATATATTATATAAAAATAAATAAATAAAAAACTATTTCAAAAGTTTACATTTAAGAGATCTCTTTTTGTTGTTTTATATTTTTGTTTAAACTTCTCTTTATCTTTAGTCACTTCTTCAAGCTTAAGACATTTTAATTCATCAAACAAAGTATTCGAGTTGGCTAAACTTGCTTCATTACTATAAGAATTGGACATTGGACTTTTTGATAGAATTTTGCTATGTATTTCATCCTTTAAAGACTGCAAAAAATAATGTTTTTCATTTTTAGAATTCATTATACATGCATAACTTTAGAATAAAAAATAAATATTAATTATTCTATCAACACAAATAAATAATTAATGCCATGAGGAAAATAATGAAAAAAAATTAAAAAATTAAATTTTTTTGTTTTTGAAAATATAGTAAATACATATCCTAATAATCTAGCAAAATAATTATATTAAATTTTTGTATAAAATGAAAATTATGTTAAAAACAAAAAGATACTAGTCATAAGTGAATGAGGTTTAGATATACAGTTTTTTCCTTCTCCTATAAAATTAAAACTATGTGACTTCATATCTTTTTTTATGTCATGACCTAAATTGGTCATGAATAACTTTACCTAAAAAATATTTATTCTTTTTAAAAGTTTATCAGCATATATATTACTAAAACTACTAAATTTGTTAAACAGACATCAATAATAAGGGCACAATATTAGTAATGAGATAAATTATTTTAACAATACATCATAAGTATTATGTCTGCTATTAAATAATTAAGCCCATACAGAAAGTAGTTTAAAATAATTAATAAAAATGATTTAAATACTTTTAAAAAAGAAACAAAATATAAAGGTACTTACAGTTATTTCCCTATCTTTTTCAAAGATATTATTTTTATAGGTTTCAATAGATTTTTCTAATTCAATTTTCTCTGTTTCAATCTTGTCAAACTCAGACGAAAGAATTTTATTCTCTGATATTTTTTTTTGTAACTAAATTTAACCAACAAGTAAATTTTATATAAATCAATATTTAGTTAAAAACTAAATTGAATCTGGTTAGATTGACATGAAATAATTTTAATTTGGCTTTATGCATTTTGATATAAGGTATTTCTTGAAATTTAAAATCTTGTGTAATCACTATTCATGAGATCAAACATATCTATTGAAGACTACAGATAGAGCATATCAAATACTATATGTACTATTAAAAATACTCTCCTAATTAATTACATCCTAATAATTTCTTAATTAATAATTAGTTTAAGAATAAATAAATATATATATGTATATTATATATACAGTATGGAACACATTTAACTGACAATAACTGATATAATTAAAACTTTTATTATTTAATTATAATTATAAAAAAATAATTTTTTTCAATTATTTAAGAAAGTTAATGTTTAAGTTTTTTATTATTGAAGAGATAAAAAAAAGAACTTCAAAAATTTGCCATTTTTTTGTATATACATAGTAGGTGAAGTGGGGAGGAATACAGAAAAATGGCTACCTCTACTTTTTTTAATTATCATTTTTCAATCCTCCATTTATTTTGAGCCATTTCTACCACTGTATTTGTATAAAAATAGATAATCTAGACACAATTGTTTTCATGTTACACATTTGAATAAGAAAATTTGTATTGAAGATTTTTGCATGTTTAGGTTCTTTTTACTTTTAAAGACATGTTTGACTTAATAAATTTCTTAGAAATTAAGAAATTTATTAAGTAATATTTGTACACATTTTTTTTTTAAGAGCTTAAAATTCCCTAACTTATTTATTTACTCGTGTTATTGTAATTAAATAGACTAATCATAACATTAGTTTTAAGTTATATGTTTAACAAATAATATTATATGTAAAATCCATCTATTTTGTCATACTCTTGAAATCAGGTTCATCATGTAACATGTTATTTAAAAAACACGATAATGTTTATTTATGTTGTATTTTAAATTATTAAATGTATCTCAAACAGGGAAAATCTTTTAACTCTAGCCACTTAATTTCTATTAAAATAATAATAATAATTTGTTACAAAATACTTTTTAGGTCCACCCCTTATATATTATACAGATGTCAACTTAATTTATTTAAATGGCAACATATATATTTAACTAGCTAATAAAATACAAAATAATCTGATTAAGAAAATGACTATTGTTATTGAAATTATTTTAATAACAACTTTTGATCTAATATTTTGGTAGTTATTAGCATTTTAAAGTATAGACAGGAGGTGAATGAGGATTTTGCTATTTTTATCATTAGTTATTTTTCATCTGCTCTCATCCTCCAACCTAGGTGCAAATTGGGTTCAACCATCTGAAGTCTGGTCCAAAAATTGTTAATGAACAGTCATTATCTTCATTAGATCAATTTTTATTTAATAAGCTAATTAAATATGTATGTTGCCATTTAAAAAAATGAAGTTGACACCCCGATAAAGGATGGACTTCAAAAATATTTTATAACAGATAAATGAAAATACATATGTAATTAATAAAAACTAAAAAAAATTCACAAAAAACTTATTATTTTGAGAAAGATTGATATATTTAAATATTGTATACTTAAATATTTTTAAAACAGTATAAAATAATCATAATGAAATATAAAGAAGCCATTTATAAAATTAACTAAGATCTAAAAACCATGAGGTCAAGGGTGCTAATTTTAAGGTTAAAAAATCTAATCTCCCTCAAACCCCAATTAATCATGCCATTACAGAAAGTTTACAACATAGTAGAGAAAATGTAACAACTTTTAAAGATCTATAATCCATGAATCATAAGTTAATTATAATAAATATAATTACTTGATTTTGAAGATTCGTTTGACTAATTTCCATTTCTGAAATTTGAAGTTTTAGTTCAGCAACACTTTTCTCTAAATCAAAAATATCTTGATGAAATTTCGTCATTTGTAATTTATTTAAAACTTTGTCAGCAACTGGTAATTCTTTAGGCTTCGATAGTTCTTCAATCTCATCTTTTAAACATTTAATTAACTTGTCTTTATCTTCTAACTTTGTACCTAATTTAAAATTAATTAATAATTGATTTATAATAATAATTTGAACCCTAATCAATCCATAAAGTAATACAAATAAAAAGTTACTAAAGTTTAATAAATTTCTTAAGAAATAAACATTAAAAATAATTTTTAAGACATCTAATTACACAAAATAATACTTAAAGTTTTTTTAACTTACTTAGCTTATTGTTTAAATTATCTAACTGTTTTATTTTATCAGCTAGCTTATCATTTTCTTCACATTCATTTTTATAATCTTCTGTGAGTTTGTTGATAAGTTTTTCTTTCTCTTTATAAATTAAAGATTGTGATTTTGGTGACTAAAATACAATTAAGTTAAAATCAAATTAGAAAAAAAGTATTACTTATTATAAAAAAATTTTTTAACAATAATTTGATGATGAATAATATTAATCTTATTATTAAAATATATATAATATTAATGTTTTTAAAACTACTGGAAAATAATATGTGTATTAAATGGGTTTTTTTTTTTTACTAAAATTTAATTTAGATACCTCACAAAATTCTTGAAGATAACTACGTCTCAATGGTTTTGTTTTAACTGGTGTTACATTGTTTGAAAAATCATCTATAAAAAAAAAATTCAACTTTATAATTTATATCATTGTAAAAAAAAAAATAAAAAAGATATAATATTTACCAGTTATTAAAGAGTCTGTAAGGTTTTCTTTATTTGAGTAAGCTATTTCTAATGCTTCGGAAATATTGTGTTTTGTAAATTCAATACTTTGTGTAACTTCTAAAAATTTTGCAAGAAACACTTGTTCTTTACTATTCATCTTTTCACTTAATTGATCTCTATATTTATTATTAGTACACTTCAATAACGCATGTAAGAGTACTACTACACAAGTATAACAAGAATTTTCTTCAGTATACATAAGTAATGGTTGCTGAACTTCAAATTCTTGATAGTTAACTATAAAATTAGCAATACAGTTAGTTAATTTTTAAAATAATATATAAATATGCTTCTAAGACTAAACATTTCAAACAAATTGGATACATGCTATTATCATTAAATTTTTAAAAGAAATTTATATTTTTTTTTGAGAGTCAAAGTTTCATTTACATGCTTAAGAATTTCCATGCACTTATTATTTTTTAATATACTAGAAAATTGTTTCAAAAATTTATCACAAAACTATTAGTATTTTAAAAATCTAATTTATTACAAAATAAAATTAAAATAAATTGACATACAACAAAATATATAATAATTATATAACAATTGAGAACTTTATTTCTAAAGCTTTAACTCACAAAATCTGATAGAAAAACAATCGATAAGTAGTTATGCAAATAAAACTACATATTAATTACATTTTTAGCAGTAAAAATTAAATTGTTGGTATTTTTAAGACAAAATAAAAATTATAATATCATAATACTTTATATTATATGGTGCATTATTAATTTTGGAAATAAGATTCTCAATTTTTTTTTTTTAAGTTTTATAAAAAAATATTTTCAGAAACTATGTAAAAAATTATTAATATTTTTAACTTCTGTTTAAAGCATTTATACAATATGTAATACATTTACATTAATGTATATGTTTTTTAAATATTAATTATATAGTTTATTTGTGATGTTATGTTCTTATAGATACATAAAGTAAACAAATGATGATATTTAATACAAAAATTTAAAATTATAAAAACTTACTCTTAATAGTGTTGTATAATCGATCATCTTCAGTAGTGAATATTGAAGGTTTAAAACAAAATCTATATAGTAAAGCAATTAAATAATTACTAATATTGTACTAAAAATTATTAATAGTTTAAAGAAAAACAAGCAATAAGTAATAATTAAAATAGAATTCATAAAATCTATTATATTAATTCGGACAATATTTTCAAAAATTCAGAAAAACAAATGTTTAAAACAATTATGCTTTTTCTTTTTTCCGATCAATATTTAAAATATAAATATTATTAAATCTAAGTTTTTTCTAAAAAAAAAACACTAATAAAACTACATGGGAGGTAGGTCGATAAAAAAAGAATAGTGGGTATTTGGGCTTTTTTTAGATAAAATCCTGATGTTTTCAATTTTTTCTAACTCTGTATTATAATGAATTAGGAAAACTAATAAAATATACTATTTTTACTTAAATTACATACTATATTACTATATAATATATTAAGTTACTTAAACTTACACATCATTAACTAGGTTTTTAAAATTACTACTTTTAATAAGTGAAGAAATGTTTGAATATTCATAATCTATAAAGTCTTCAAACAGAGATATCTGAAAAAATAAATATAATAATTTACTAAATAATATTTCTAAAATGTAAAAAAAATATATAGTATTTTCACAATTTTTTAATATTATTAAAAGATTAAAGTAATTTAATATAATATTTAAATGTAACAAATACTAATAAATATCATATTTATCATACTTTAATATTTATCATTTTTGTTTACTATGATTTGTATAGGCATAAATAGAATAAAATATTTAGGGTTGCTAAATTAATTTTTCTCAAATAGTCTTTTTTTTTTTTTATATATATATAGCAAAAAATATATAATTTTTCAAAGAGTTAAATAACCTTAATTATGCCTATGCTGATTCGTGTAAGCTAATCATTTTTTAAACAAGAATTTCCTTTGAATATATTTCAAGAAAACTTGTTAGCCATCATGGTTTAATAACTTTTATTATATTTAAATCTATTAAGTTTCTACAAATTTAAAGATACAAATACTTTTCTTAATAATAATTGCAATAATTAATATTATATAAACATACTTAAAATTTATACAAATAATTTCTAATTGTTCAAAACTAAATAAATATTATATTTATATCAAAAACATCAGTACAAAGTATAAAAAATTACTTACCCAATGAAGTATTAATTTTTCAAATTGATCCATTATGAAAATACTGATACCTATTTACTAAATAAACAGAATGTGTTTAATTACTTACATTAAGGTTTGACAAATATTGTAAAATACAGAAAGTATTAAGGAATAATTCTAATTAGATATGACGAAAATAAATATTTATGTTAACTAATATTATAAAAATAATATTAATTGATATTATTTAACTATAAACAAATATTAAAATGAATAAACAGAATAAAATACTACAGTTATAAAATATTAAAATTGAACAATGTTATTTGTTATCAGGTATAAAATGACCGTTAACGGAAAAATACAAACGCATTCCAAAGATGCCTCAGTGTAAACTATTATCAATATAAAGTCTTTGGAATAACCAAATTTACTGACATTTAGGTAGCCCTTATAGATAAATGGAGAACATTTTTGTTAAAAACTTGAAGAGTATCAGTTTATAATTTGTTCTTAAGAACGATTTCTTAAAAATCTTTTCTTTGAAGAATTTAAATAACAATAAATAATCAAAGATAAAAGAATTTCGAAAGTTTGGGAAATTATTATTTTTGTACTTATATGCTACAGTTCTTATTTTAAGGTTACTATAAAAACTAATATTATATCATGTGTAATTTCTTGAAAGAACTTCTATAAAAAAAATTTGATTGATTGATTTCCTCCTACTCATAATAATTTTTAATATTATAGTACATTGGTAAGCTAAAATCAAAATTCCTAAGGCGTCATCGCAAAATTTTCTAAAATACTGCTCTGACCATAGTAGCTCAAATACTGACGATCAGAAAATCAGATAAATGGTTGTAGATAAAAAATATATGTAATTAGTATTTTGTTTGGTTGATGAAATAAAAAATTTTACAATAATTATTTTTGTTTCTCATATAATAAAAAATATCCTAAGCAAAAAAAAAATCCCTCGGAGATAAGGTTGGAAGGAGCAATTTCCCTACTTCCCCCCTCAGTAAATACGCTACTTATGTCTATTGATATACAGTTATATTCAATGCAAATGTATTATCGTATATTGCTGGTGACTGATGAGAAAAAATCTTATATCTATCATAAAAATTAATTTATGAAATAAAGAATCAAATTAATGTTGCCTCCGGTATTAAGAAAATCTATTTAATCATGAATTTTTACTTTAAACCTAAATTCATAATCCATCTTAAAACGCTAACGAATAACTGGATAAAAAAATTATAAAAGTAAAATTGTTTGTTATTTTTTTTCCTATCTTTTCATCAAGTTGAATATTGTATGCAAATGTGATATCTGTTATTTGTAAAATAATGAAAATAAATTGTGAGGAAAAATATTAATTTGTTAAAATTGCCTTTAATTTGTTTTATGAACTATATTTCTCTTAGATAAAATTGAATAATATATTTAATGGTTATCTGAGTAGAAGTTTATTAATATTGATAATTTAACAATTTTATAATTTAATTGAGTACAAAATAACTTTTAGCGATTCGGATAAAAGAAATCGCAAGAACAAAATTGTTTGTAATTTTTTTCTATTATCTAATTAAAAATAGAGGTACCCATTTAATAAAATTAAAGTTAAGGTTTTTTTTTGAAGGGATGAAAAAATGAATGCTTGACTACTTAATATTTTTTAGTGTTTTGGATTAAATCATTTTTTTCATAACAAAAATTTAAAATGTTCAACCGTTTCTGAGAAAATAAGTATCTCCGAAAATTGACCGCTCTGTGTACTAATAAGTTAATGTTTGAAAGCTGAACTTGTATAATCAAATAGAACGCTGAATTTGTTGAGCAATGATTTAAAAAATGATTTGCTTGAAAAGAGATCAAATTATTGTTCAGTTTAAGTTTGATAAAATATTTTGTTAACATGGTTCGGTTCTTAATACCGAATTATTGACATTTCGGTAAAGGTTCGATTCGATCAGAAAAAATGACAATAATAATAATAGCGATTATACTATTATAACAAACGATAATTACGAGCGTATACGTAGTTAAAAATAAATTACACAATATAATAATATACTAATACTTTACCGTGTGGACGACGCTGCCGGTCGTCCAATAACCCGTAAACAAGTTTGCAGCTTAACCCGTTCCCGCCGCACACGATTGGCTGCCTCGTTTGGAATATACGTTTCAAAATATTGTTCGGACGACGACGCTACCGGTCGTCCAAACACTGCTCGGTGTTCATGTACTGAGGGAAACAACTTAAATATTAGCACACGACAAATGTATTTTACTATTTAAAAATTTGCATTTATAATAAAAATGTAGAATTAAGAATATACAATTAATTTTCTTCTTTTAATTAATTTTATTAGGGGTGCGATCGTCCTGTCGTCCAAGCCACGAACCGCCACTGGTAACAATTATTTCACTAGACAAATTTTGATGTTGACGTATGTTTGTGAATTCATTTACTTTATTATCCCCAAGTAGACATTTTTATTAAGTACCAGTATTGACTACGAGTGAAGTACTGCATCAGTACTGACAACTAACCATTGGCTAACCTGTTCTAGATTAGTACTGACTGGCGTCTTGTCTAAACGCTGATCTAGTATTGACATTTAATACTGTTGTACAAAATATTCAGTACTGATCTGTCAGTCGCATAAATGACCCAGGCGTTATCATACTAGTAGTGGTTACTGCGCTAGAGTTGCCAGTGCTGCGCCTGATGTTCTTTCTGAATGGGTTCAAATTTTAAAATTAAAAAAAAATATATAAATTTTTATTTTTATTTTATGTTTCTTATTAGTAATGATAATAATAAAAATATACTTAAAGAAACGTAGGCTATGAAGACAATAATTTTTTTTTTAAATTTCAACAAATTGTATCATTAGTTATAAAAGTTATCAGTTAGATCTGTACCACTATATAAGATTATTAATCAAGTTCCTAATGTACTGTTTCATTGACTTAAGAGAAATTAAGTGACTTACGTTGAAACATTATTATCTTGTAATTATCAATTATTATTGTTATTATTACTAGAGTGCAGTTTACCTGACCGACACTAAACACTGAGTATTTTATTTTGTCTAATAGTTAGTAAGTATTCGTTTTGGCCGACCCCAAGTAGTTGGGATTATGGCGAGGAAAAAGATGAAGAAGAGTTAGTAAATATTCGTTTATAAAAAAATGTCGATACGATTTTTGGTGTAGATTAAATCTTTTTATTTTTGTTGTAATAAAAATACTTAAACTTGAAAATTTAAGTTATCGTTTTTAATATAGGGGTGTTATTTGCGGCACCTAAGGTATATATTTACGTACTTAAAATATCATTTTTGGCTTCTAAGGCTTTGGGTTATTCCTCCACCGTCATAACCCCACCCATCACTTATAAATTCACAGTGATCCCTGTGTTATTAATTTTTCGAAATATTTTTACTCAGAACTTTAGGCAAGTAATTATATTTATAAACTCCATGTCTTTGTTAATATTAGAAATAAATCGCAATGATAAAAAAATAATAAAGAACCATTAGTAATGATTTAATGGTTTTTCGAATCTACGTAATATAATTAATCATTTATGTTTGGCTGTACATTTTAACAAAAATAAACCAGAGGGGTAACACGAAAATAAATGAATGAAACTATATATTATTTAATGTATTGATGGTGTCTCTACAAAAATATACAAATGTCTGTTGGTAGATGACTAACGTACTTCTTACGGTTCATCTTCTTTATTGTAATAAATCTAAATTTGGGAACAAATATATCTTCTGTAAAACTAACTGCTATTTTTAGTATTTATAACGTTTTCTTAGTTTATGTAAATGTTTATTGAAAAACACCCAATTAGTGGTCACATATTACTAAAATATCACGAATCGTTTAAACACTAATTTCACTAGAACATTATTGTTAATAAATTATTGTTAATCTAGTAATTAAAAAATATACAATACTGCAGCATTTATAATGTAATGTGTTAATAATTCTCTCTATTTATAAATTGGTAAATTTGATGTAATTTGGTAGTTATTAATTCTTCTTAACAATTTTTTGGTATTAAAAAAAGTTTTCTTTTACATACAAATATAAATACATTTGCTTTTATTAATTTATTCGACCCATTTTTTCGGAGATTAAATGAGTGGCAACATATTATTAGGGGGCGATTAATCCTTCCAATATATTGTACAAGTACATATTTTATAAATTCGGTATTTATGTAATATTTTTCTAAAAATATTTTTCTTATTACGTTTTTTAGGTAAATTTTAAGTAACAAAATTAGGTCATTAGTATATCTACAATAAAAGCAAAAATTATTCGTCTAAATTCTTAATATATTTGTGTTATAGCAAAGATTATCTTAATCCTGGATTTTAATAAAAATTGAACTATTTTAATATAACAATACTTATCACTTAATGAAGAATTTGAATAATTAAAATGATTTTTTCCACAAAATAGTATAAATCGACTTCAAGTAAAAACATTAATAGTCTTATTTAACAAATAATTGTTAAATTAATTAAATAACAATGTGATATGTTTAATTTTAGTGATTAATTTCTAGCTTTCATATTGATAATAATTTAAACTGGATAGCACAAAAGAAATAATTTATTTTTCTTTCCAGCACATTTACGTAACCACATATGCTGTTTAAGCTAATTTATTTAAGTTACGATTATTAAGCGTTATTTCGTTTTTGGAACAATTCCAAATAGTTTCTCTCCAAACAGATTTGTAAAAGGCTATTCAAATAGATGTTGCTAAATGCGTTAGGGAACAATAGAACTTTTCTTGAAGATATTTTTGGGATACATTAAATGCTAAAGTTTGTTTTCTCTTAATCAACCAAAATTGGACGAGTACGGTATGTATAAAATTATTAGAAAATAAATAAAGCAGAATATTTTGTATTTGAAAAATTACTCTCTGCACAATTCTATTTTTATATAGCTGTGTACTATACAAATATAAAATTTGAACAGAAATAATTTTAATGATGTATGTTGTTCCATTAAATGAATAAATAGAAAATCGACACATTTGTTAAAAAATACAAAAGAATCGTGGGCGTTCGTAATGCTTCATTGAACCTTTAAAACTTATTTTTTTTTTA